CTTAATTAAATCTTTGAATGCTTGAGTAAAGCACCTGATGCAATTCTTGCTACTATAATTGGTTGGAATTGCTGTTTAAGTTCATCTTTAACATTTGCGAAAACTGGATCGAATAAAGCAACTTTAAAGAATTTCTTAGCTGAAATTTCAGGTCTAATATTTGCATATTGACCATCAAACTGGTTAGAATATCGTGGTAATCCATCCGGTCCCTCTTCAATAGCATTTAATTCTTCATTGAAATAAGAATATGGATTATGACGGTATGAATTAATTGGACCATTTTCACCTTCTCCAATGTATTGTTTAACAGCTTTTCCATTTTCATCAATTGCATAGGATAACGTTCATTATATGCTTTACGTTTAGGATAATCAGATATAGTTAATTTATAACCATTTATGACTTTAATATTACCTTGACCATCAGTAACGAAAACTTCATTTATACCATCAGGTTTTCCATTTGGACCCGTAATGTCTGCTTCGTGTGCTTCCCAATTTGGACCATGACGTTTGGCATATGCTTGAGCTTCTGGTAATGTTAAAACGTTTCTCATTTGTTTAACATCTTTTTGAAGACCAGCAAAAATGAACTAATTCTTTCATTCCATCAGGAACTTTCATAGTTCTATTATATGCACCCTTTTTGTTTGTCCCTTGTTTTAATGGAACCTGTAGAAGATTTGCTATTTCTGTCATGTTTAATTATAAATAAAAAATAAAAATTAATTATAAAAAGTTAATCAAATTTAACACTTCCTTTATTTAAATCAACTATTATTTTTCCATGTTCACCTAATTGCTGATATTGTGTGTAAAGTTCATTAATGCTCATTGGTAAATTCACTTGATAAAGCATAACGTTCAACTGTTGACGACTAAACCCACTGAAAATAAAAGGGTTGATAGATTTGATTTAATGTTTGTGCTTAATGCTTTGAAGTATTGAACAGCCATGAAGAATGAACACTGAATGTGTCGACATTGAGTTAATAACTGATTAAAATATGATTTCTCGTTTGTTATTAGTTTTGATTTCACTGCATCATCTAGAAAAATGAGTGAATGCAAAAATTCTCTATCAAAATTTGAAATAGAAAGTGTTTCAAATAATTCATCCCGTTGTTTATCAATAATTTTATCCTCTAATCCTTGCTTCTTGATTGTATTATATAATTCTTTATACATTAAAAAGTTTTTTAAATAATCTTCTGCTTCTTCTTGTGATAAATAAATAATTGGAATTTTGATTAAATGCTTTAAAGATTCAAATGTATCATCTGAAGGTGAACCTGAACGGTTGATATAAATTAACACATGTGAATAGGGGGAAGTGTTAGCAATAATGATAATTTGTTTTAATATCGTTAATGTTTTACCTTTATTTTGTTTACCAATTGCTGCAGTGATTGAATTTAAATAACATTCAGAATATGGAATTTTCATTAATTTTTCCTTAGATAGAGCATTTCTATTATCACTCAATGCTTCATTAATCATATCATCTATGTATGTATTATATACTCCTGCTAATTCTTCATAAGGGGTGGATGAATTTAAATCCATTTAATCAAAATAAATTTATAATTTTAAACATTTCTATTCATCAATATTTCATCATATGAACTTCTATACTGTGGTGGTGTACCTGTTGGATGATATTTCAAACCTTCATCCGGTGTCCATGTCCAATACGTAGTCCTAGTAAACCAAACCTGAGGAGGATTTGTCACCTTTGAACAGTAAGTGTCATTTACACCCTGAATGATTGGATAAGCTTTCACTTGTACTGTAACTTGTGAGTTGAAAGTTTCTAATCCATCAAAGAATATACCCGCTCCATCACGTTGAACTGGAATAGTGCATAAGAATGAAGTTTGGTCTTTCCATGTTCTAGCTAATGGCGTGCCATCATCATCATTCAGTGGTCTAGTTAATGAGTCCTCGTATTCTTCCGTGCATTCATTCACTCCATCTAAATCAGAAGCTTGAAGCATGCGTGTAAAGAATATGTCACCCACTGTGGTCATCGCTTGATCGGGGAAGTTTCTGGAATCTATAGTGACCTGAAGACCTCGAAGCATTGGATTTTCTAAAACTGTTCTTTGCATTGCATTCTTCGGAAATGTTAACACAACATCTGTAACATTATGAAGAGCGTATGAGAAATCTGAGCTAATACCTTCAGGAGTGATGCAACCTCCATTTAGTGAACGAACGTCAATATGTTGAGCTGGAATCATGAATGGATCTTCCTTACTGAATAAACGTGGTATTGCTTTAACTGATTCTTCAATTAAACCGTATCCTGGTGTAATGCATTTATCCTCTAAAACTTCCATCTTTGTGCATGAAATAATAACGTCATCAACTGTTGCGTCAGCAGATGTAGCGGCTAAGCTTGTAATTAATTTGGAAGGAAGTCCGATTTGTTGGAATTTGCGATCATATTTATAAACATGATTCATAATCTTTTCATAATTTTCATCAGTTATCTTTTCATAAACGTAATTTTGTAAATCAGCAACTCTTAACGGGTCAACCTGACAAAATACTAAAGTATCCCTGAAAACATAATATTTAAGAATGATATCACCAAATGATTTAGGATAATCATCGAACGCCTGAAATGCTAACAAATCATTTACCGGAATAATCATATCAAAAGTGACATCAACTTCTTCATTTGCTTTCTTGAAAACTTCTGAAGGGTCAATATATTTACCACATACTGAGTTATCATATTTTTGAACATTATTATATAACGAATGAACAAACTTTTTAACTTTCCTTTCTGATTTTGGTTTATATGTTGCAAATGCGAAAGATTCACGGGCGCAATCCATCTGAAGATAACCGGCATCACCTCTTTCGGTTTCTACTTCTAATTGTTTAAAGCTTTGATTTGATGATTTGTAACCAACGAATAAACGCATGCATTTAAAAGCGGTATCACATGTGAAAGCTTTATTTGAAACTAGAGTTGCTTTAACTTTGCGTTTAATATATGTGTCACCTAATTGGTTCACATCATGAGCTGGATTTGTAATTCTTAAATGAGTTTGTTTATCATCAAAATATGGAGCATCAGAGTCATAGCATGAACTTTCAAGTTCTCTATAATATCTTCTACCGTCATTCTTTGCGAATATTTCATTTATCTTTTCGAATGAATGAAACACATTTCCATTAATCGGTTTAGTGTTTGGCACTAAATAGTTAGTCGTCATTTATTATTAAATAAAAAATCAAAATTAAAAGATGAAAATGAATTTTTAATTTTAATGAAATAATCAACTATGGCTGCAGGTATATTTAAGAAACTGTGGGATAAAGTAAAAAGAGGAGCGAGTAAAGTTTGGGAAACATTGAAGAAGGGAGCAAATTGGATATTTAAGAATAAAGAAGCAATTAGTGACATTGCTGAATCAATAACACCAAAAGCTGCCCCAATAAGAGAAGTTTTAAATAAAGGAGAAAAAGTTTATCAAAGACTTCAACCGATACTAAGATAAAAATAATTTTAAAATAATTTATTTTTCCACTATCTACCTCCTATTTTATTAAGTATTCCTTCAGCAATTCCACCAACTGCGTTACCTGCTTGTGCTCCCATCGCCGGATTACCTGCTTTAGTACCTAATACTCCACCTATGATAGTTCCTGCCGTTTTCGCTACTGGTGCCAAAAAGTTTGCAACGGGTTTAATAATATTTTTATGAACCCAACCTGCAGCTTTCTTAATTCCATCCCATAATTTTTTAAAGAATCCTGCCGCCATTTCTGATTTAATATTAATTAAAAAATATATTTCATCACTTATATTCTAATTTTTATTTAATATTAAATAAAACCAATTTCAAAAATAAATGAAACAGAGGAGGAAGAAATAAATGAAAGTGAAAATGTTCAACAAAAAATAAACGTTGTTAAACCAATTACTGAAATAAAAATTTTTTCATCTGTTGAAGAATTTAATGACTATTATGCTAACAATAAAAAAATATTTGAAGAATTGACAACGTGTAAATTGAATAAAATGTTTAAAGTTGATGGATTCAAAATTTCAAAAATAAAAGGAGTGGTTAGTTTGAAATCTATTCCTCAATCAAGAATCACCTCATTAATGAAAATAGATGATTTAACAAAAAGAATAGAAGAGATTGAAGAAAGAATGAATCAAATAATTGATATCATAAATTCAAATAATCATTAATTTCTTAAAGTTCAATGTTGAACTCATCAAATTCTTTTTAAAGTTTATTTTTTTAAAATTTTTTTATTTTTTTATTTTTTATTTCATTATGGTAGTGAATCTTTTATTCATGAAAATAATTATTTCTAATTTCTTTTACTCGTTTATGAGGTCTTTGATTATGACTCCATTGATTCCATTCAGGATTTAAACAATGTTTAATTAATCGCGGAATATCTGACATCATCTATATATAGCTTCTTTTATAAAAGATAAAAAATAAATTATTTTAAAATTAATGTTAATTTTTTAAAATGTGTTTAGTATATAATATTTATTACTAATTTATTTAATAATGTCGCGCTTTCTTACGAATTCATGACTTAAAAAACGTAAGAAAAAATTTTTATATCATCTATATATAGAAGATGTGAAAATATACCTTCATCTATATATAGATGTAACAAAAAAAGTCACACAACCCTTCCTATCCTACTACTTATCACTTAATTGCGCATTAATATTTACTTGACAATATTCTTTCATAGAGTGCCCGAAATTTTGAAACTACTAGTGAAGTTTTCGATGAAATAACTCAAATATTGATATGCATAGAATATAAAAATTGCTAAAAATCGAAAATCAGAATAGTATTCCTGCATTTTACCATAATGCTTTTATTCAATTATGGACAAATTATGTGTATTTCCTATCAATAAATAGTTGTAATACACAAATAATATTTAAATACAAATAATCTATAAATTTTATTAAAAAACAAAGATAAACTATATATAAGAATATTAAACTTGAATATTTCTAACAGCGTATTCAGAAGGTATAATCTGAATTCTGCCGTTGATTGTTATTGTATAAATAAATTCATTATCATCAGCAACAAAAACATTCGTAACAGGACTTGCACAGTTTGCGAATTGATTCAATGCTTTTTCACCGTAAAATGCTTCGAAAGACCAAATCCTTCCTTTCTCACCAACAATCAAGACGAAATCAAATCCATCACGAGAAGTCAATTTCGCAATATGCGCTACATTAATATCTACTTCGAATGTTTCATGAATTTCGCCATCAATTGTCAAAACAGCTATTTTTTGTATCTCATTTCCTTCGACCATTGTTGTGTAATGAATTACGATGAATCCCCAAGAATCTGTGACAACGACATTTCTTGGGAAACTGCCTTCTTCAAGAGACATTTGCCAAGTGATTTCTCTTCTTCTTGTATCAATTGCAAACACGTTTCCGCAATGTGTACAAGCGATTGCCAAATGGAAGTTCTGAGAAACATGGCAACAAGTTAATTCGTCATCGTAAGTTGCAACAGAGAAAAGAGGACTCAAAGAATCACTTGTTATCGCGTGCAATCTCGTATCATCGCCACCTGAAACAATCAATCGTTTTGAAATGGAAATGCAGTTAACACCTGCAAAATGAGCACTAATTGTCTTTTGTGTCTTCTTGTTTATGTCAATCGTCAAAAGTGAACCGTTTTTAGTGGCAAAAACAATGTTTTCGTCATCGGTAATCACTCCGAATTTTCCTTTTCGTGTCTGAACACTAGAAATGTCAAACTTCATTATTTCTGTCACTTCACTTTCGTAATTTGACGATAAAAGTTTTCCATCGTCTGTGACGATAAAAACGGTTTGCTTTTGAGGGCTAAAGAAGCCACACAAAACATTGTCGACAGGTACAGAAAATGACATAAATTCTTTCAAAATTGTTGAGTCATATGTCAGTTTTTCTGGATGAGGTGAAGTGAAAATTTGAGGCGGAATTTGGCCGTATTTATGCATTTTCTCTTCTTTCCTGTATCTATCACCTTTTTGAGGGATTTTGTCGACGAACAAATCAGGGTCGAAATTATTTTTATTTTGGTCAATTCCCCAAATCAAATCAATCCATTTTTCAAGATGATTTACTCTTTCCAAGTATTTGCGGCTGAAATAAACAAATTCTAATGGACTATTTGCCCATTTCGGAAGAATAATCTTATGGATTTCTTCTTCGGATTCTTCAATTTTGTTCTCAAAAATTCTTGGATCAAAATAAAATTCTGGTGTCAATTCTGTCACTTTTTGACTGTAAACTTCTGAAATTTCTTTGAGGGAGTTAAACTTAAATGATTTTTCTTTCATTGCGAAGAACTTCGTCATGAAAGGTTCAACTCTCATGTTATAAACAAAAACATTTTTCGGAGTCAAAAATGTTTCAAAAATTTTTTCGTCACTTTTCATTTGTAAATTATTGAAATCTCTCAATTGGTTTGTCTCAAAATTCTGGAATATCCAAGGCATTACAGGGTAGAAACATTCGCAGTTGAAGGACCTACCGCTGAAGATATTCAAAGTCATTAAATACTCGAAATTCGAGATTTTTCCTTCGATCCATTTTTGTTTTACATTAAGTTTTTCAATCATTTCCGAACAATCTTCTGTTTGCAAAACACAATGTCTATATTCCTTCCTCTTTGAGATAACTTTGAGGGCTTCTTTTGCATTCTTCGTGTGCAATTTAACTAAAACAGATTCGCCATCAAAATTGAAAACTTCCAAACCATTTAAATTTCCATGGAAATATCTTCTCAAAATATGTGAAATGTTTTGGGACTCAATGACCCTTTGCTCTTCATTGTCGTAATCAAATACAAGAGCAGATTTGGTAACAACAAACGTGGCTTCATGTTTTCTGTCAATTTTGACAATTTGACACTTGTCAGAAAACAAAACTTTACTTACAAATTCATTTTCATCATCTGATTCACTATCTTCATCACCATTTCCACTAAAGAAGAGGGAGAATGAAGAAGATGTAGAGAATTCATCGCTGTCATCTTCTTCCGAATTATTTTTAACAATTTCTTCAAATTTCGATGAAAAAGATCTTGAGAAATAATTTGTGTGTTTTTCTTCACTTTCATCAATAACTCTCATTTTCATCGGACAGAAGAAATTGCACAAAGTAGAATCTCTCTTGAATAATGATGGTTTCTTGGCGTTTATGTCTTCCCATGGAGCGCATTGCAAAGTCATTCTTGCCCAGAAATGACGCCATTGGAAAGCTGTTTGTCTCTTGAGAAAATCAACAGCTTCGAAGACATTTTCAAGGATGAAAATAGAGAATGGTAATCGAGAAGTTTCGCTGGAATACTTCTGATCGATGCATGACTTTCTCTGCTTCAAAATAGAAGTGGCAAGTTTTGAAAGTTCATATGAAAAATATGTCACTTTTGGTTTGATTGATTCTAACAAAAGAGGAATTGCTTCTATTTGAGAAATGGAGTTCTTTTCTGTGAAAGGAATTGTTGAGCCAGCTTTCTTCATGTGGTATTGCAATAATGACATGAAAGGATTCGATGGTTTATGCATATTCAAGAAGATAGGAATAATCTTTTTCATTACGTAATTTGTAACTTCTTGGTTTCCATTTTTTTCTGCTAAAATAAAACTGGCAAATAAACTGCCAAGATCATTGAAATTCTGCGAAGGAATACAAGTTATAATTTCAAGGCAAGCAAGACTTAAATCAACATCTTCCCAGTTTCCTCTGTCGATATCGAAATTCAGTCCATAAGTGTATTCTTTTGGTTTTTGTGAAAGTTCTAACAAAGAAACAAAATCTTGGTTTTTGTCAAAAATTTCATTTTCTATTCCACAAATTCTGTTGAAGAAATAGTTCGTGTAAGGCATAGGTCTAAACAAAATATAGAACATACACAAATTCAGTAAATTAGATATCATGTCTTCGGAGAAAAATCTTGGCAACAATCTGATTTTTTGAGCAGCAATTGTCAAAAATTGTCGAATAAAAGTATTCGAAGAAGAAATTATCATTGTGATGAGAAAACCACATTCCCAGTCCTTATTTGTACAATTTAGAACGAACTCGAATATCTTCTGTGATTCTTCTGGTTTCTCACAATTAACAGCAGCCAAAATTGGCCAAAAACTCCAAGCTTTTGACAGAGCAAAACAAGAATTTGGTTCCAAATAAGATAAAAAGTGTTTTGTCAAATTTTTGTTGTAATAAATCAAACCAAAACAAACTTGGATGAAATCAGGTTGCAAATCCTTTAAATTATAGATTTGGTCCAAAAAAGCCGAAGAATATTCATGATTTGCGTAATGATAATTAAAAGATTCCAATTGATAAACAAAAAGAGAAGTCTTGAAAATATGACTTGTTTGAAGAATACTTAACAATCTAAATATAGCTAATGATATCTCTTCATCATATAATTTAAATAAAGTTGTTACTTTTTCAATGGATTTGTTATTTCTGTCACTTTTTTGAGAAATTTTCATTAAAATTTGTTTTGGAGACAAAGTTAAATTTTGTAACAGTTCAATCATTGATATAATGATTGATTTATCATTAGCAGTTACTATTGTATTCATTAATGCATCGAAATCTTTTATATCGAAAGAGATTTCTGCAACAGAAACCAATGTTTTGACACTTTGATCTCTGATTGAATCCAAAGCTTCAATTTCATTTTCTTTGCATTTCCAAATTGATCCTAAAAAGATTCCGAGAAAATGAGTGAAAGAAACAGGGAAATTCAAGTTAGGGAATAAAGAATTAAACCAATGATGTGTTACAACCAAAGCAACTTCTGTTCTAGTGTAAATCCAAATCAAAGGATTCACTAAAATGTGTTTTATCAAATCATGTTTGAAATTAACATTTTGGCTTTGATTTAATATGTCACAGAACCTCAAATAGACATTGAAGTCGAGGAACTCTGGATTCATCTGTCTCATTAAATAAGAAATTAATACCCAACCATTTTCTTCGTAAAACAAAACTTCACTCGAAGGACTGACATAAAAAAGAGACTTGAAAACATCAATAACTTCAATCAAAATCTCTGTTCTCTTTTGTATCTGATAATCATAATTGTCATTAAAGTTCTTTGTGACATCTGTAAATTTATTTCCATTTTCTTCGAAATTTTTAACAATATCAGATTTCATTTCTTCAATTGTTTTATTTTCATCTAATTTTTCTTTTTCATTAGATTTAGTTTCAAATATTTTTTCTTTTTCATTTGGATTAATTTCATCTAAATTATTATTTTCATTAGAATTAGTTTCATCAGATACTTTTTCGTTTAAGTTTTTGAATTTTCCTGATTCATTTTCTTCCAAATTTTTGCTTTCTTCTGATTTTATTCCATCTAAATTTTCCTTTCCTTTAGATTCATTTTCATTTAGATTTTTGTTATTCTCTAAACATTTTTCATATGAATTTTTATCAACATCTATTTTTCCTAATTTTTTCTCATTTATATTTTTGTTTTCAGTAAAGAAAATACTTCTGACGTTCTTAACTTTTTTCTTCATTTTGAAGTCATTTATTTTCTTGAACAAAGGAATCAAAACATTTGCAGTGAAGAATCTAATCAAAGCATCAGCGAAATTCAAATAACCAGGCATTTTGTTGAGTGACAATTTCACATTTGGTTTTCCATTTTTCTGCAAACAAATGTGGTCTTCAGAAACATCTATATTCACAGACAAAATGTTGTTGTTTATGTTGTGACTTCTTGGTCCGTATTCTTCCATTTCAATTATATCTTTCTGGGAAATTTCGTCGTAGCTCAAATTAATTGGTCCGAGATAAAAAGGAGAAATCAAAGGTTTCTGAGACATAAAACCAATTGTCATTTCATCAGTGTATCTTACATCCAAAGAAATAGGGAATGTTACCTTTTCTTTCGCACAATAAATAGTTAATTGTCTCGGAAGAAAAGAGAAAATAATCATAGACCAAACATTTGGTCTCAAATTTGAAAAGGTCTGTTCGAAATAAGAAATTACTCCTTCTTTATTTGAAATCACTTCAATTTTGTTTTTGTCCATGTATATTTCTAAATAAACATCATACAAATCACTTCTAAATAAATTTGTTTTCTCCGAATTTATTGTGTACAAAAACCACAAACAGAGATTTATGTTGTTTTGTCCTTCATCATATTTAGAAATGTTTATAAGATTCGTGTTATTATAGAAAGGAATTGATGCAACAGGATATTGTAGTTTGTAGAGCAAACACTGGATGATTATTCGCATGCACATCTTTAAGTGTTTTCTGCTCATTAATGATATCAGTTTGTAGACAACTCTGATGTTTGATGCAACTTTAGCAATACTTATGAAAAAGTTTTCCAACTTCTTCAGTTGTTTCTTTGGTTCTTCCGTTTTACAAACAAATGAAACTTCACTTCTTGTTTTATGATCTTTAACTTTCTGATTCCCTTTGTCTTCCATCAAAATTTTATCATTTTTGACATCATTTGACAAATTTTCATCATTTTTGACATTTTCTGTCAAGTTTCCATGATTTTTGACATTATTTGACAATTTTTCTTCAGAATTCGAATTTTCTTTATTTTCTGTCAAATTTTCGTTATTTTTGACATTTTCTGACAAAATTTTATCAGAACTTGTTTCATCTAGAGCTTCATTCATTTTTTCATTTGGATGTTCTTTTTCTTCATTAGATAATGAAGAGTTTTGATTTTCTGACAAATTCTTGTTTACATCAGAATTTTGTAAATTTAAATTTGTCAAATTTTCTTCTGTTGTTAAATCTTTTTCATTTGAAGATTTTTGATTTCCATCATTTGGTATTTTTTGCAAATTTTCTGACAATTTGACATTTTGTAAACTTTGATTTTCTGACAATTTGACATTTTGTAAACTTTGATTTTCTGACAATTTGACATTTTGTAAACTTTGATTTTCTGACAATTTGACATTTTGTAAACTTTGATTTTCTGACAATTTGACATTTTGTAAACTTTGATTTTCTGACAATTTGACATTTTGTAAACTTTGATTTTCTGACAAATTTTTAACAACAATTGGCTGATCAATTTCATTAATTTCCTGGTCATCAATTTCTTCGAATTCCTCGAGTATTCTTATATCGATCTGACCGAGGTGACACATCAATCTGTTTATAGGAGAGATCAAAAATGTCTTTTCCAAGAAGTCAATTGCTCTCAGACCGAACAAAGAGTAAAAGTTGTAGAGATATTTGTGTTGAGTTATTTCCAAGTGGTTGTGGTTGATTTGTCCAATGATTAGATCAACGTGGCAATCAAATAACTCGTCATCTCTCGGTCCAGGAGTGATTTTCTTGAGGAAATTGAGGAAAACTTGTCTTTCCGAAACAGAAAGTGTCGAATACTTCGAAATTAAAGTTAAAAACTTCATAACAGACAATGCCAAGTTAACATCAACATCATATGTCGTGTTTGATGCCAGTAAAATACTGATTTTCTCAATCAAAACTGAGTATTCTTTCGGAGATTCGTTTCTTACATCAATAATAGTGATTGCAGCGTTCAAACAGTCAGTGATCATCTTGAAATAGTCTTCTGTATCAACATCTCGCTCGTTATCATATGATCCTAGTGCGAGTAACAAGAAATTTAAAATTGATGTGCGAGAAACATTGGCCCAGATGGGAATTACGTAGTGAATGACCTCTTTCCTGATGTTCTCATCAAAGTGCAAGGCTAAAATGAATGATATAAAGTAGTCTTTCTCTAGAAAAGTGATCGACAAATCAAAATTAGTGATTAATAACTTCAAAACTAGTTGGAAAATGGATCGGGATACAGTAACGAGCTCTCTAGAGGTCTGGTTCTGTTGGAATTCGTTGTAAAATGAGGGATATGCGTTAATAATAAAATCAATAATTTGAATAAAAAGTTGTAGCTTCACTTCATTCTTATCGAGCTGGTGGATGATATATAAGACAAGCTCTGATAGTAGAAGTGGAGTTGTTTTCATTGGATCTAGGAAAGATAAAAAATCCAAATTTCCCCATTTGAGTAACAGCGAAAAATACATATATCTAAGCTGTATAAGAGGGAAATATCCATTCGGATAGTCATATATTGTGCAATTCGGGGTAAAAAGTTTTGGATATATTATTTCAGTCAATTCTTTGAAATCTGTGATCTCTGATTGCAGTGTTAAGAATAAAACAGCAGAAAATGCTAAATCGTAGTCAAATTTCGACTTCAAAACCTTAATAAAAGATCGATAAATTGATAATTTCGCTCTTGGATAATTTCTAGATAATTTCACTAAGCATTGGACGTGGTTACTTATTATTTTTGCCGTTTCATCGAATTTATCAAGATTTTCCAGTTCAGTTTTTGGTTTCATTTCTAATTTGTCATATTTATTAGAATAAGGACTGAATTCATGGAATTTATTGAATATCATTGAGTTTAAACTGCTATTCAATCGAAAACAATCAGGTAATTTCTTCGGATTAATTTTTGAACGATGAAATGTAGCCAAATCTTCTGAACCTTGTATGTCAAAGCATGGGATCAACTTTTCACTTGGAATTTCACTGAAACTCGAAAAAGAAATTGAAGTTATTAACTGATAATTGTTTTGCTGATGGGCTTCTAAGGCAAAACCATCTTGAGAACTACTCTTATCAAGATCAAGTGCAATTTGTGGTATGTAGCTTAATTCATCGTCCAAAATTGGAATAATATTCCTCAAATATTTTTGATCTTTCTGATGTAGGAAGTTTGCAAGTAGATAACCGATCTTAGAGAAGTAAAGCTCTGCAACAGACCATGGAACTTTCGTAATAAAGTTGTACATGAAAGTCATACAATTTATATTTAAGGAACAAAGGCCGTAATAGCACCTGTCATAGAGAGATATCGCTTGAGTTTCGGAAATCGAGTAGTTTGAGTAACAATTTAGCTCGGATAAGAACAAAAATAAAGTCTCTGATTTTGAATCTATTGGACCGCGAGTTCCTAGTGCGTATATTAAGAATATTATAGAAGATGTAATTGTCCGTGGAATTTCAATTTCGCAATTTAAAATATTTCTTACAATATCCAGAATTTTGAGTAAATCAAATCTTTGTATATCAGCTGAGATCGTAAATAGAATATAAGATACCATATAAATCGATATTTCATGATATGGATGAGATTTAATAAGAAAAAGCGCGTTTAATATTAAATATACATCTTCTGGATCAATATTCCTTGAATATCCTACACAGAAGCAGACTGCACTGTGAAGTATATAATAATATTCCATTTCGTTATGTTCTTTTGCTGTAATTATTCGATTTAAACAAGAATAATTGAAAATAAAATCGATTTCAAAGATTGAAAGACATTGGGTGAGTTTTTCACCACTAGTAATTTGATTATATAGGGAAATGAGTCGATTTTCGTCAATTATTTTCTTTGATGAAAAAGTTAATAAATCAAATGGAAGAGAATCTTCATCAATTCCTGCTGGGACTTGAAGTTTTAATGTTTGGATAATCGGGTGATTTTCAAAACGGTAGGAATTGGTGATATTCTCCATAAAATATTAATTCTGATCTCCCTAATTCAAATTTTGAAATTCTTCAAAAATTTGAGATCTGAAAGATCAGGGATGATCAAAAATAAAAATGGTATATCAATAAATATTGATAATTTTTATATTTTTATTTATTTCTGGAGTAAATTTTAGAAATGGACTTACTTTCAGTGTAATTACACTAATTATTATATAAATGCCCATATAGGCACATAATGCTATAGGAAATTTCTTATAAATCTTTTTAGATAACAAGTTAGAAGCACCTAAAAATTCACATAAATTGAGAGCTCTCTCAAAATTGAGAAGGCATTTGTTTTAGCATTAAGGATCCATGAGCAATTTGATCAAGAAACTTTTAACTTTTTTCTTTGTATAAACCTCAAGTTTTTCTTTCTTGGTTTCATATATTTCATATTTAATGGTTGAATCAAAGAAATCTTTCTACTCTTTTTATGAATGTGAGAGCAATCAGCATTTTATCATTAAGGGTGGTAATATTTTCCTGCATAATATCTAACGTCACTCAATTACTCCATGTTGAAATTCATTCATCATTTTTCATCAGAGTAAAAGAAATCTTCAATATCTATCCATCTTATTATTTGAAGATTACCTTCTGATGTTGAGCGATGAATCAATTCACAATTTTTACATTTTGAAATAATATCAACGATTTTACTGTTTCCATATGAAAGTGCTTGATCAAGAGGAGTACTTCAATTACATTTTTTTGCATTTAAATCAACACCCTTAAGTGTCACAAGGTATTCTGCAACTTCAATAGAATTATACATGGAACAATAGTGTAAAAGAGTAAACTTGGAATGCATTGGAACCGAAGGATTAACTCCACAAGAAATGAGATCTTGAACAAGTAATAGATTATTTTTCATTGCTGCAATAAAAATAACAGGTTCTCTCAATTGAGTAGAGAGTTGATGGAGGCCTCGTTGAACTTCATCGTCCCTTTCTTTGCTACATTTTTCAAATAATTTATATATCTCATTATTATTTAGATAAATATTTATCAATATATTGAATATTGCTTTTCGTTGATAAGGAGCCTGCCGCTTGTGAAGATATTATTTGGTTGAATAATTGAACGAAAGTTTCATTAACATCTTGTATTTCCTCAGTTGGAGCATTAATTAATGATGAGTAATAGCTCATAAATGTAGAAACAGCATCATTTGTGCAGAATTCAAATTTGATATATTTGATTAGTTTATCAATTATAGAAGATTTTAATGAACATGTCGAAGATTTGCAAAATTAAATATCAAAGTTACATAAATCATCTTCACTTTCAATTTTAAGTGAAGGATTTCTCAATATTGAAATATCAAAATCTAACAGGATTTCTTCTACATTTTGAGATAAAAATTCTTTTTTGTTTTCAACAACGGAATATATCATATCAGAAATATAAGAAGTTCCAAGAGAAGATAATTGAGATGCGATGAATGAAGATGTCTTATAGAAATTATGTGTTTTCAGACTGTATGCAACAAATGAATTGAGAATTTCTCGTGTTATATTTGTCGACGCAAACATGTTTTTGTATTGTTCAATGAAATCGTTGTTCTTTATGAAAAATCCAATTTCGTAAAGAATTTCGCTTGTAAAGATGTCAACTTTTTCATCAACAAAACCTTCTTTAAGGAATCTTGAGAAATAAAACTTTCATCTGTGATTAATATGTCTCTGACTGCTTCACTGACGACAGCTGCATGAGACTGAGTTGTAACAAATCGATTTCCATTGATAAAATATAACTCTATTCCATATTTTGATAAAGATGAATTATGGCAATATTGAGAGTTGACAACAAATTTACAATCGCTCATCAATTTTTAAAATACGACACTTTTTGAATTTAAAAGATTTTAAATAATTAGGGTGTTTCTCTCGGAGCAGAGGGATATTGCTATTAAATCTTTTTAAAACATTGAAAATGCACATCAAAATGAAAATAAAATTTAATTTCCAGCCATCTACATGAATTTCAATGTTTCTCATACTTATAAACAATCAAACATATAGATTGATGACCATTCCATTGATTTAATTAAGTTTAGTATGAGAAAAAAACACAAAATATTTTAAATGAGTTGTGAAACTATAAAAAGATTTTTTTCAATCAATACAAACATTTTATTATATTATACATTGTTATGCTCATTAAGTAGATTGTTCAACTTAATATTTTCTTGTTGAATTTTGAAAATTTCTTCTTTTGAATCAATATCCGACTCACCGAATGAGAGCGTTGACAATGCAGACAATAGAGATGATAACAATGCAACAAAACGGGATAAAACTAAAAATACAAGTGAATTAATTTTGCTTGGCACAATTGCTGAAAGAGCTGCGTGAATCTTCATTACATTTTGCCTTAGCATCTTATATTGGGCCGATACAGGCGAAAATGCTCTAAGTTTGCAATCAAATTGCGAAAAAATTTCATTCAAAATTGCTGCAAAAGGTTTTAACGCAGAAAGCGTGTTATTCATGGTCATTATTAATGTTGATAGCTCTGGAAGATAAACCATAGGCTGCGTTTTGTTGGAAATTTCGACATTTTTGAAAACTTCTTCAAATATCTTATTAATTCCTTCATTTGTAAGTTTAGACTTATCAACCTTTGGCTTTACTTGAAGGACCATGCCATTACACAATCGTTGCGAAAAAGAAACAAAATCCGGTTCTGACATATTTCGATAATGTTCATTATCAATGGATAAACCAACAAATTGTGCAGCCTTATCGTTATATTTAATAATTATATCCCTGTAGGCTAGAAATGACTTCTTCAAAAGGTCGACATTATCCGAAAAAGTCGAAACGTCCTTTAAAATAGAAGCAGCGAGGACATGACCTTTCAATTGTTGCTCTGCTGTTGTATCTCCAAGTTTCAGTTTGACTTTTATCTGCAAAAGTGCCTTTGTTAGCGCATTTACTAAAGCATCTGAGTTTTCTAGCTTAGATTGCAAAGGATTTTGCATCTTTTCTAGGATTTCTATTAATCTAAGCGAGGAACTATCGAAATCACCTGACGGAACTTCGATTTTGAGGTATTTTGCTAAACGATCTCGAACTTCTCCGAGAATTTTCTCACATTTTGCATTCCTTTCGTTCTCTTTCTTCAGAGTATGGACCATTAGATCGCATGCTTCAACAGAATCCTCAAAAAATGAACCTGTTTTCGGAACATTTATGAAATCTTTGAATTTATCAGAGATAATCTGATATAAATTAGAGATTTTTGAAGTTAATGATTTAATTCTTTCATCAAATTCGTTCTGCAAGTCATAAATCTTTTGTTTTAACTCTTCATTTTGATTATTTTTTGTTTCTTCCTTTTCAGCATTGGATTGACTGAGATTTTCAATCTTTTTATTTATTTCTTGTCTCAAACTTACCATATAAGAGTAAATATCAATATTTTCAGGAATTTCAAGTAAATCTTCAAAAATTTTCATTATACTTTGGTCTTTGTTCACAATAGAGTTGTTAAACTTGCTAATTGACATAGATATCATCATGTGAAGCTCAGAATTTAAAACAGATTCATCAATATCTTGGTTTTCGAAGTAAGAATAACAAGAAGAGATAATATTTCTGAGATTCTTGATATCATCTGAATGCAAATTGTTCATTTCTTCGATCTTTTTCATCAATTCTTTCCTTTTATTTTCAGAAACTAATAATTCAGTCTGGCTTTTCAATTCAAAGTCTTTTAATGACTTCTGCAGACTCTTAATAGTATTTTTATTGTCATCATCCATTTGAGAAACTAATTCTTTCAAGTATTTTAAAAATTCCGAAATTATTTCCGATTTTTTCAGCTTTTTTGCGTTATCTATACCATAATCCATAAGTTCATATGCATTATTAAATGATTTAAAGTCAAGTTCTTCTGTTTCTTCTTCTTCATTTGTTTCAAGATTAATTTGTTCGGGAATATGCTCTTCTGGTAGTTCTGGAAGCATTGGTCTTCTATATATGGCTGATTGTGATGCATCCGAGTGGTCTAATGCAACTAATAAGGCTTCTTGGAACCGATCAAGTGAATTAAGCATATTTTTAATGTCAATGTTAATAAATATTATACTATTGATGATGGATATAGTATCACTGCACGCTGTATATACCTTTTGTCTGATTCTAACAAGATCTTTTGAAGAAATTCCGCAATCATTGAATTCTTTCACGAAACAATCGTTTAAAATCTTCGAGTATGATTTAATTTTCGATGTTATCGATTGTAGTTGCTCCGTATCACTTGGATTTTGTAAAAAAAGATAACATTCTGAAAGTAAACTGATTTTTTGCTGAATAAGAGGCTGAACATTCTTCTTTCCTCCGCTTTGAGCGCTCTGATTTTTATTTATATGGCTTAATGAAGTACTTATTATTTCAAAATTTCGAGTTATACTTTGTTTTATGATATCGGGAATAGAAAACTGTAAATCGCAGCATAATTTCGCATATGGTTTCCAAAGTTTTAAGAACGGAAGAGGACCTTGTATTGTCGGAAAATTTTCTGTTCCAGAAACAAGCAAAGCGGATATATTATCGCCATTCACTGTTGATAATAAGCCAGGAAATAAGTGTTGAGCTTCAGATGTATATGTCAATAACGAGTTTCTGCTATTTTGAACGCAATAATTATGTGAGACGAGCTTGCCGATGTTGTCAATGAAATTATTAAATGCAAATTCTAAGTTTGCTTGAGGATTTAATGGTTTCTGCATTGAATAATTAGGTAGTGATTGAACAACGTTAATTTTTTGTGGATTTCTCCGCGAATGATTAGTGTATAGTCTAGGGGTCTTCACATGTGTTGGGGCAGCTGTGATAGGACGAGTTTTCATCGAATAATCCGATGAAAAATCGTTCATAAAATTTTGAAACGAAAATAAGGTTAAAAATTTGTATTGTCTCAAACAATCCAAAAAAAAAGATTTTGTTGCATTTGTTAACCTCACGATGTTGCCTTTATCAATTATTGCAATTGAATTCAAATCTCTGGTTTTGCAATGATCCAGGTGATAAAAAGAATATAAATGAAAAAAACAAAAATATGTCTTTTCAAACTGGATATCACATTCAGAAGATAACTCAGAGAAATTATTCTGATATTCCTTCAGCATTCACTTTTTGCTTCCTGAAACAATGATCAAATATCGATTCTATTAAATGTAAAACTGACTTGAAGCAAACATGCTCTAGATTTTGGTAAATATTTTTATCTTGGATCTAAATTAAAAATATATCCAATCCAAAATATTAAATTATTGTTCTCAAAATCTTATATTTATTTCTATACAATTATCTAACAAAGTTTAATTTAAAAATTTATCCGAAATTTCCATCAGATTTTTTTTTGAAACGTTTCAACAATGAATCAGGATATCAATCAGAATTTTGAATACATTGCTGCTCATATCAGCGATTATATTGCAAATGAGAATCTTTTTGATATATTTTGGATAGAAGATATCAAAACAATTATGAAATATTCAAAATTGACATCAGAACAATATATCACTCTTCTCAAACAATCTCGCTCAACTATTAATGCCAAAGAATTATATATATGTACACGAAAAGCAAATGTTACCATTCAAAACTACGAAGAAGTAATTTCAATTCTACAATCTATCAAACAATACATGAAATTCAATATCATTGATAGCATCATTGACTTTTTAATTCATAAAGACAAAGAAATGCGTGATTCAAAAGAAGAAATAAGAAAACATCAGAAGGAATTAACTTCATTTCAAAGACAAAATAAATCCAACGGATCACCAAACAATCAAATTAATGAAAATGACAGTAATTCGAAAGAGTTTTTAACTAAAATCTCTGAAGTTAAGAATTTAAATGATTTCGAAAGTGTTTACAAATTCCTTGATGAACTTTCTTTGTATGGAATTCGGGAATTTATTTCAAAAGCTTGTGAAGAAGGACTGTGGAAAATAATAAAAGAGGAACCAATGGGGAATTACATTGAAGAAATGAATGTACTTCATATGGCATGTTCAAGAGGAAATCTAAGACTCGTTAAATCTCTCATCGAATGTAACTGCGATATAGAAGGTGAGACTAAATTTGGATCTACTCCTCTCATTTTAGCATCATCTAGAGGTCATCTTGAAATTGTTAAATATCTAATCTCTGTTGGTGCCGATAAAGAAGCACGGAATAATGATGGCTTCACTCCAGTCATTATTGCATCATATGAATGTCATCTTGAAGTTGTTAAATATCTTATCTCTGTTGGAGCTAATAAAGAAGCAAAGACTAATACAGAATTTACTCCACTCTTGTATGCATCGCATAATGGTCATCTTGAAGTTGTTAAATATCTTATTTCTGTTGGCGCTGATAAAGAGGCAAAGACTAAATTTGGATCTACTCCACTCATTTTAGCATCATCTGAAGGCCATCTTGAAGTTGTTAAATATCTAATCTTTGTTAATGCTGATAAAGAAGTAAAGGATGATAATGGTGAGACTCCACTTATTCATGCATCAAAAAATGGTCATCTTGAAGTTGTTAAATATCTAATCTCTGTTGGTGCTGATAAAGGAGTAAAGGATAATAACGGAAAAACTCTACTTTCATTTGCAAAAGGCATTGTTTGGATGCATCTACGTTTTATTGGAGTAAAATAATATATTTCAGTTTTATATGGACTTAGATATATTTCAGTTTCCTACATCAAATAAAATTATATTATGCTTGACATTCATTGTGAGAAAAATTGAGTACTTTCTGAGACTTTTTTTTTAAATGAAAAGATTCAGAAAAGTACTCGATCTGCATATTTTATTTACCGAACTTTTTTGTTGATCTTAAGGCTGCCAATACACCAGCATGATATGATTTTCAATGATGCTTCACGCACCTTGTCAGAATTTTAAATTAAAAATATTTGAGATAAAAACTTGAAAAAAGTATCAATGTGTTATAAAAAATATCAATAAAGTAATAAAAATGTATGAATTTTAGAACTAACAAAAAAGAATTATTTTACTTTAAAATAAAATACAAAAAATAAAATAAAATAAAAAAATACTGATTAACAAACTTTCTGTGTGAGAGGTTCAAGAAGTAGATCAAATTGTTCGCTTGGAGGTTTCTCTATGTCACCTCTTGCGAATCTATCAATTATAATTGCAGACTGCAACACCAAAGCAGACAAAGAAGAAGCAGGAACAATTGATTCTTCTGGTAAAGGACCAACACTCGGAAGTCCTGATTTACGTCTAATAATAACTCTATAAAGATCTCCAATATATTTATGTATAATTATATGTGCGTAATTAAACTGAGATGTTATTACGTAATGATCATATCCAACGACATTTTCATCCCAAATGATGTGAATATTATCATTACCAATGTGTTTCTTCTTAAGTATTCTCTGTGGATCGTTTTCATCATTAGGAAGCAAAGTAGAAACATGAAACATTACTTCGTATAAATCATCATCATAATAGATAGAATAAGGGAATTTTTCATGGTTTTGGCCTTCTAATTTTCCATTGTAATACTTGTGTTTATTAACATTTACAACTGTTCCTAAACTCTTGAGAAAACTGTTGAAAGCAAGACTACAATTATCAGATGTATTTGATAAAATCTCTTCTTGAGACATCTGTTTGTCAGAGACATAAATGATGCCAATTTTCAAGTTTTCTCGTGGAGGCAAATTAAATAATGGAGATGCATATCTCGTGATGACTTTATCTGCCATTTTGAAGTGGATTCTGTCTGTTTCCAAAAAGTATTTGATGAATGAAAAACAGGTTTGTGATTTGATGTGTTCCGTAGATTGAAAGAATTCATTAATATCAATTATATCAAATTCATCTGTTTTGTTATTGGATCTCTTTGCTTGTGGTGTTAAAACATTAATTTCATGTTTTTCTGGTTCAGAAATTGAGAAATCTGATGGAGAAAATGATTTGTTTCCAAAAAATTTCGTCATAAATTTGGAAATTTCTACTTTTTCTGGTTTCTCTTCATTTTCTGAGTCACAAACAACAGGTAGATCACAGTTATCTACAGTGTTTTGTCTTGATACAGATCGATATGTGTTTTGTGAAAAAACAAATCGATTTCTAAAACAAACATCAATTTTTTCATCGGAAACATTCGAAAATCCATATGCAGATTCACCCTGGATAACTGCAAATGTTTCATACTCAGTTGTTGGAGGTGGAGGAGGCTGGATTTTCTGATATTTTGACGCATAAAATGAACTGGAAATGATCATTTCATTTTTGTCTTCAGAAAATCGGTCAATTAGCTTGGAAAGGTACTTAATGAACTTCTTGTGGATTGTTGGATCCCTTGACCTTGTGGAAATCTTGGTTGCCAACATCACCATGCAAATTATTTCGTAAATTGAGTCAGTGTTCATTGAAATGTTCATAATAAGACGCATTAAACGAACAGGAAACTCAGTAATCATCTTTTCAAATAATGGTATGAAATTAACTAAATAAAAAATTTCTTTGATATTTCCTCGTGTCACTTTTTTGAGAACATTAGATGGACCTAAGCCATTTAAGGTGGGAATCATGTTTCTGTGGAGTCCTTCACCGGATATTGTTTGTTCTAGGAGAACAGCAAAGAAAGCGTTGAAGTAGAGATCAAAAGGAATCTCTTTTTCGCCATCTACTGCTTTTGGTGGTGGTTTTCCAAGAATATCGCCGAAAATGGATAACAGGACTGCGTTAACAAGGCCACTAACATCGGATCGAGTGTTCTTCCATACATTGTTGAAGATATCTTTGTCAGAAATTTTCATTTCAAAATCTGCCTTATTTTTTTCGATAACATCAGGGAATTTGATCTCCATTTGCGATTTGAATACGGAAGAAGCATTAAGAATGAAATTCAGCTTAATTGGATGGTCGATTGCGATATGAAGAGAATTCATATGGAAAATGATGAAAATTGCAAGGATATAGCTTTGAGGAGCGAACCTCGTGAAAGCATCAATAGCAATTGGCATCGTAAAGCTGATAATGCTGTGATTTTTCTCAGATAAATATTTAATTATCAAAACAATCCATTGAGTGATCGTTTCGGAGTCTACCGTGAAACTGTTTATACTACTGATCTGTTTGGTCGTTAAAGCAATCGCTTCTATCGTATCTACTGAATAATCTCTGTCTTTTGCCAATTTTGAGAGCGAATTGCTGAAGAACGTCTGCGCAATGAGGTAAGGAGTCGACTGCAATGACAAAGGAACAGTTGTTGCAAGGTAAGAAAGGTATTTGATGAAAGAATTGAAAAATTTATCCGAAAACTTCCAATCAAATAACAAAAGGTTGTTAAGAAATGCAACAGCTTTCTGTACTTCCCATCCTTTTGCGTGAATTGGCGGGATATAGTACTGTTTTTTGGATTTGAACGGCGCATTATCCAAATCTGACTGGTGGTCGGGGTGGATCTGCTCTTGTATGTATGTGGCATCGGAATAAACAAGGTCTAGGATCTCAAATGGGTCGGTTGAAGAATTCTTCGTTTCATTTGAGGAAGATCTTGAGTTTTTCTGTTTCGTACGGACAGAAAGTTGTTCTACGGCCTCTTGGTCTAAGCCTAGGAACTGCGGAGCGAATGCAATTCCTAATATTGAACAAAATTTTCTTATGTAAGGGATTTCAAAGAATTGGAAGGTCGTAAGCTTGAAAAGCTTCCAGACCGGATACTCCGTAACCTTGAAATCGAAGATTAAAAGAAGAAAAGTGATAATATAAGTATAAAGTAGTTTTTCATCGACATTTGATAGGAGAGTAGTCAACATTTCCTCTGTCAATGCAATTTTGATCAATGTTTGCCATCGTTTTCTGCATAAATTCAAAGAATTAGGAATTGTATCGTCGGAATTTTTGGTTTTATAAGCTTTTAATGTGAGATTGGACATTAATTTGATACTACATGACACAAACTTGATGAGCGAATGCATAGAAATAGAACTAAAGACGTCTTCGTACGTAATTTTGCTTTTTTCCATTGCTTCGTCAAAGAAATCGTTAAGAAACTGGATCCCATCACTTGTTTCGTATTTTGTAGGGTTATCGTAATAGAAATCTGTCATAATTATGATCGTATTGTAAAAGAAAATCAAATAATTTGGTTGCTCGTATATATTTTCAAGAATCAGCTGAAAAGACTTTTTAATGGTTGGATCAGTAAAGAATGTACAAAAGAAACCAATTAAATCCTGTGGTAATTTGTAATGAAAACAATAATTTTCGTAAGAATTCGTATCAACAATGATATCGGAGTCAACTAGTAGTGGAAGTATGTAATTTATAATAATTACGCACCAATTTTTGATCAACTCTGGACTTTTCGTTGTTAATTTGTTTAAAAATTTAAATAACTTGACTTTAAAGAAGTTTCTTAGGTCATCAGGCATTGGAACATTATATGGTTGCTTTTGTTGTAAAACACTCGATATAAAATTGCGAAATAAAGAACCATATTTTGATAAATTGTTTTCGTTCGTAACATAAATGCTAATTGATGCAATTTTTAAGAAATTATCTGGCTCTGGATCGTCAATAATGTTATTCAATAAATCTTTGCAAACATCGAAAATCATCGAATCAATTGCGCTATTTCTTTCTTTAATTGGCTTATAAAATTTCGTTTTCGAGAAAGATTTGATTGCTGAGAGGCATAGAGATGATAGTACAAGCGTTGAAGTTTTATTTTTTTTATTTATCGCTTTTAAATGAGAAAGATAGTATTCTAGTAGTTTGTATGTTTTAGTTTCGATTTCTTTTTCATTATTACTATCAAGAGACTCTCTTACATCACGGATTAAGTTAAAACCATCAGGATTCATTTTTTTTTCTCTAAAAAAAATATCTGAAATTTAGTTTATTTTCATTGTTATTCCACGACGTATAATATTTATTTGGCCTTAAATTATCTTCATATAATAGATCTGATTAAAATTTTAAGGTTTCTATTCGACCAAATAATCATATCGTCAAACTTATAAGTTCTGTCATAGTTGAATTCTTGTTATAAGTTTATTGTTTATACAACTGGCATGGAGTGAGATCATTCATAATTGGAAACTATACAGATATCCAGTAAATTCGTAAAGTTTGTAAAGTGTCAAATTTGATAAATTTGACATCGTAAAGTATTTGTGAGTTTAATGAATTTCGTGGAGATTGGGAGCTCTGGAGCTCCTCAAGCAGCAGAGTAAGGCAAATTGGCCGCACAATTTTGTAGTCCTCCCGTGCTACACACCATATTTTCCTCCCTTTCAATGAAATTGAAAGAACTTTGGTGGAATTTATAAAGGGACGATTGAAAAAAAAAAAAGGAACTTCGACGACAACAAAGGTATCGACCAAAATTGTTCCCATTATGCTTGACATATGAAGTATAGTAATAGTGTGTATGGACTCATAGAATGGCTTTCGTTTGATTTCGAGAAAAATTGAAATCGTGATTTTTTTTGAGTGGCAATAATATTTGTAACTATATATAGTATCCAAATAATATATTATTGCGTATTCAGAAGTTTACATTTTTTTACAAATTATCAAAAATATTTCCCAATATCTAACATAACACAATGTTTGGTACTACTTTTTATTGAATAAAATCTATCGGCGATTCAATTTATTGTGTTGTCATTTAAAAATTTTTGAGACTGTGTTTCTGAATTAATTCAATGATTTTTTATATCGAACAAAAAGTTAGATTGACAATAGGTTTAGATCAGCTCAAATTGTATTTTTACGAGGAAAAAAAAACATACAAAAGATTTGGTCGGAAAATCCCCTTAAATTTTTTCCATGTCCGAACAAAGCATACACCTAAATCAATTCGTTGAATTGCGAAGTATCTATAAATACCACATTGATTTATATACTGCATTATATCAATTGAAAACTGAAAAAGAAGAAGAATTAAAAACAATTTACAAAATGATCAAAACAGAATTGATTGATTCAATGAAATATCTTCCCACAAATGTAATTAAAGATATTTTAGCTATTATTCCGTATAATAATCGCTATACAAAGTCATATTTAACTCTTGCCAAACTCATTTATGATGAATACCATGTGGAAGAAGTCAGCAATGACGAAATTATATCAATCTACCTGTTTTACAAAGAATACGGGATTAAATTAGACAAATCTGTTGATTTCGGAAAACATAAATTTGAAAATCTCGATATTCATGAAGAAAATACAATTTACAGAGCAATTATGAATAACGACAAAGAAAGATTCATTACTTTCACGGAAATAGATGGATTTGATGGAAATCAAAAACTTGAAAGCAATTTATATCGATATCTTTACAAAGGATATTCATTACTTGAATTATGTTGTTACCATGGAGCAGTTGATTGTTTCAAGTTATTAAGGACGAAATTTAACTCAGAAATAACTCAAAAATGTCTATGTTTTTCATTTTTAGGTGGAAATCCAGAGATCATGAGTGAATGTATGAAATATCAAAAACCTGATGAAGAATGCATGGAGTATGCAATTATTTCGCACAACATTGATTTTGTTACATTCTTAATGAATGAATACAATATTAAAATCAACTTAAATGATTGCGGAAAATATAAAAATCTTGAATCATTTTTAGTTTATTTTGATCAAACTAATGATATTAACCAATGCTTTATTTATTCAGTGATGTTTAATATTCCATCCCTTTTAGAATATTTACTTTCACATGGTGCAAATATTAATGAAAAAAATGAATATGGAAAAACCGCTCTTCATATTGCAGCATATGAAAATAGTAAAGAAACGGCCGAACTTCTTATTTCACATGGTGCAAATATTAATGAAAAAAATGAAGATGGAGAAACCGCTCTTCTTATTGCAATATATAAAAATAGTAAAGAAACGGCCGAACTTCTTATTTCACATGGTGCAAATATTAATGAAAAAAATGAAGATGGGGAAACCGCTCTTCATATTGCAGCATATGAAAATAGTAAAGAAACGGCCGAACTTCTTATTTCACATGGTGCAAATATTAATGAAAAAAATGAAGATGGAGAAACCGCTCTTCTTATTGCAATATATAAAAATAGTAAAGAAACGGCCGAACTTCTTATTTCACATGGTGCAAATATTAATGAAAAAAATGAAGATGGGGAAACCGCTCTTCATATTGCAGCATATGAAAATAGTAAAGAAACGGCCGAACTTCTTATTTCACATGGTGCAAATATTAATGAAAAAAATGAATATGGAAAAACCGCTCTTCATATTGCAGCATATGAAAATAGTAAAGAAACGGCCGAACTTCTTATATCTCATGGTGCAAATATTAATGAAAAAAATAAAAATGGGGAAACCGCTCTTCATATTACAGCATATGAAAATAGTAAAGAAATAGCCGAACTTCTTATTTCACATGGTGCAAATATTAATGAAAAAAATGAAGATGGGGAAACCGCTCTTCATATTGCAGCATATGAAAATAGTAAAGAAACGGCCGAACTTCTTATTTCACATGGTGCAAATATTAATGAAAAAAATGAAGATGGAGAAACCGCTCTTCTTATTGCAATATATAAAAATAGTAAAGAAACGGCCGAACTTCTTATTTCACATGGTGCAAATATTAATGAAAAAAATAAAAATGGGGAAACCGCTCTTCATATTGCAGCATATGAAAATAGTAAAGAAACGGCCGAACTTCTTATTTCACATGGTGCAAATATTAATGAAAAAAATGAAGATGGAGAAACCGCTCTTCATATTGCAGCATATAAAAATAGTAAAGAAACGGCCGAACTTCTTATTTCACATGGTGCAAATATTAATGAAAAAAATAAAAATGGGGAAACCGCTCTTCATATTGCAGCATATGAAAATAGTAAAGAAACGGCCGAACTTCTTATTTCACATGGTGCAAATATTAATGAAAAAAATGTATTTGGAGAAACCCCTCTTCTTATTGCAATATATAAAAATAGTAAAGAAACGGCCGAACTTCTTATTTCACTCGGTGCAAAAAAAATGATGTTACTGCATAAAATCCATCACTTTCATCTTCCAAGATGAGTTTTATTAGAAGTTAAAAAAAAAAAAATAAAAAAAAAATTCACGCTTTAAGCGTCACAAGGTATTCTGCAACTTCAATAGAGTTATACATGGAACAATAGTGTAAAAGAGTGATAATGATTTTTGTTACTTTTCCATACGTTTTGATATGCAACTTTTTATTCATAACTCCTCCTAAATTAATTGTTATATGGAGGAATGCTCACAGAGTAGAAGATCCAAATAGTATTTGGCTTCATTATTATGAAGGAATTAACTAACCATCTGAAGTCATTACATGCAAGAACAAAATGGTTACTGCAAGAGATAAAAATGTATTTTTTAAAATAATATAAATATTCTATAAGTTTTTATTTATAAAACTCTATTCTTCGGCTTGCTCCTTATCATGAATTGGTTCCATTCTTGGTTTATTCTTTAATTCATCAATTTTAGCTAATAACTCTTTAACTCCTTCTCCAGTGCGACCAGAAACTGGAATAACAGGTATAGCGTTATAGAACTCGCTGAAAATTGATCCTGTAGCTCTGTTGAAGTCTGTAAAGTAAGATCCATCGTTTTCTGAATCGATTGCAGCATTAAACTTGTCTTCATCTGTCATCCAGTCAATAATTTCTTGTGCTGGCTTGACATCTGTCTTTGTAAGAGCCATAACCATAGGTAATCCGGATCTATACAAAATTGAGCAAGCATAAAGCATTGTAGATATGAATGTTGGTGTCTTTGTGCAACGTGGAACATCAACAACAAAAACTACAACTGTTGGAAATGCAGCAGCAAGCTCTTGAGTGATCATTCCGCCAGATGCTGACCAAGCGAAGGCTTCTATCTGTCCGGGTGTATCGAAAATGGCGTATTCTAAGTCTTTGCGCTTTTGGATTAATGAAACAACTTCATGGAATTTTGTAGAGAATAAATTTAGAGAAGTAAGAATGGCGCCATTTGGTCCAAGATTGAATTTTTGCATAACTTCACCGTATTTAACTGTATCTCTGATATCAACATTGGCAGAGAAATCAACATCAGCTGTTGCGGGATCTAAATTTACGTAGTAAGTCATTTTCTTGTTATCGTATGTGTATTGATTGAGAGCATTCATTAAGGTGGACTTTCCAGAGCCGGCAAGACCAACAACAAGGACAGCAGCTGTTTTGTTCTCCGCCATTCTCCTAAAATTTTGAAAGAACAATTATATGGAAGTTTGAATTCAATCGATTAAGAATCAAAAACCATTTCGAAATATTTATTTTTTAAAGGATTAAGGGATCCATTAGTTTACAACTATTCAATTTTTCACAATAAGTTTGCTCAAAAAAGTAAATAATAACAAAGATTTGACGACCAATATTATGAAATATACAGTCAACAATATGATATCATCTTATACACAAATTTTCAAAAAAAGTGTAAAAAAATCAAAGCTGATGAACTGCACAATAATAAAATTCCTTTGCATATCAATGTAAATACTATTCTGGATGTCTAAAACATTAGGTGGCCATCTAATGCTTGATGGATATTCTGAGAAACATTTCTCATGACAAACTAAGGATGTCATTATATCTGAATTATGCCTCAATAAGAACACTAGAAATATTTATACTTTCTGTATATATTATGATATATTTGATAAATATACTTTTGATTTTGATAAAAAGAATCTTTTTCATGGAAAGAAGTAGTACTTTATTTTAAACATTTAGTATACAAACAATTTTCTATCTGAAATCAATTAAATCATTCTGTATTTTCAGTTGGAGTCGGATTTGAATTTTCTTGATTAGTTTCATCAACATTAGTGTTTTCAGTTGCTGTCTCATCTATGGGAGGGACTGAAAGATTGATTTGAAGTCGATTATCAAATTGATTCATTAAAATTGGGTCTGATTTAGGAATTGGGTTATCAACATCTAACATTGTTCCAGATGGCATATAGCCACTAACATATATATTACAAGGAACGCCTTTTGAGTATAGTTTGAATGAATCACCGCCAACAAAAGGTAAATCGAGAATTGTTGACTCAAAAGAATTCATTATAAATGGTACTAACATAGTTTCTTCTAAATCATTAACTTTAATATATAAATAAACTCGTCCAGAATCAGATTTTGTTGATTCAATGCCACATGCAGCATTTGAAATAGTGCATGTTGCTCCATTAGGTACAGTTACGGTACACACGACGTCAGGAACAACTTCGACAGACCAAAACTGAGTAAAAACATCCGGAAATTCCATTTTCTTTTAATTTAAAAGTGACATTTTCAGTCAATTTTATCAGTGCTTCACGCCAATAGAATAAAAACATTATTATAGAGTGCAAAGGTATATTTACCAGCCTGGGAGTACACAAATAAATGAAAGGTAGCCTAGCAAGAAATATGTTATTTTGTTTAGAAAAAAAATATTTCTTAGGGATATTCTTTCTATATTATTGCACCCCCAAATAGATATATCTAAGGTAATCGCATTAACATAGAAATAAAACTTCATATACATCCTTATTGCATCATTCAAGAAGCGTTTAACCATCTTATAATAATTGGAGAAATTTGAATGAATTCTATAAATATTTCTTATACTGATTTAAGTTTACCTCGTTATTCTTTATTCTAAGTGATTCTTTGCTATAAGATTTTGCTGCATAATGAAGAGATGCTTCTCCATTTCTATCATATGAAATGATATTTGAACCATATGAATGAAGAAACACGGCTATTTCTTTGCAATATTATTAGATCCTATTCTACCAATGTGAATAACTCATTTTTCCTTTATTAAAGTCTATCGTTGATGGTTTTTTTAACGCTGCACTTAAGGATGCACTTATGCCCCTATGACATAACCTTCAATTCAGATGTTTAAGGTTAATTTTCAATGGCGCTTCACACCAGTTGTCAAAAATTTGAATTAAAGTCAGATGGGCGTGAGTGCAGCCTTAAATATTTGTATTAAAAACAACGATACTTATATCCTAATTTATCTAACTTATAAAAATAACAAATCCTAGAAGATAATAAAATGATTGGCATCTGCACAAACAGCTATTAAAAGATAAGGCCTTAATAACTGTAATAACTAGACGACCATTTCCTTGCCATATTCCAGGAATATGAACAACATCAGAAAACAAATAATCTGAATTGAGATCAAAATTATATTTCCTAGATTCGATTATCTCATAAAACTCATCACGGGATTCGATCAGACTAGTAGGTATATATGCATCTTTAGTTAAAACCCATGAACTACCACCCCCACAGCCACCATTGTAATGGAGACTTGAAAATCCGCCGTACCAGCCTCCTCCACCACCGCACTTATCAGCTTGTCCATCTGGATTTTGTACACCTTTTGGATTTTTGGAAGAACCTAATCGAGCGGCTTCTCCAGAACCAAATGTATAACCAAATGAAGAATTTGCCAAGTATTGGCCTTTGTAGACTGAATTTGTCCACCAGCCTTGTGCGACCAGGCCGCCGCCAGAGCCACCTCTCGAATCATTAGCGTCGTAGTCATCAGCCCCTCCACCAGCACCGCTCACAATCACTCGATGGTAGAGAGTATTTTCCAAAAATTGAACAGAAGTTTGGCCACCGCCACTAGCGGTGCCACCAGAAAATCCTGATGAACGCCCACCGCCACCGTATCCTCCAGGAACCATATTTTCCTTGAGATAACAGTTTTGGACGGGTGCGCAATTAGTATTTTTCAGATATTTCCCCGAGCCACCAATAGTGACATATGCTCGAGTTAAATGTTTGATATTGATCAAACCACTGACATATCCACCTGCTCCACCGTAATTAAAAGATGATTTGCATTTGGTATTTCCGTTAAATTGCTGAACGATACTATCATGAATGCATTCACCTGTCCCATAGTGGTAGGTGGAGACCTCAGAGGTAAAACTCCCTCCTGAGGCACCATACAATTCAAAATTGTATAAACTAGGCGGTAATTCTATCGAATAGTCAGTACAAAACGAAGAATCTTCACAGGGATAGTCAAAAACGTATTTGTTATCTTGCTTCGATACAGGGAGAGGAGATTTGATTCTGATACCAGCCTTTTTATCGTCGTACAGAGAATATCTGATCATACAAAGCAGACAATAGCAAGTTTATTAATAATGACCTATTTTTCCTGTTGGAACGCAAACTTCTCTACTTGAAACCAAATTTTATCTGTTAAACAATGGCTCATTTATGCTATTTCAAGCGTAAATTCATTAATTTGCATTGAGGTTGATTAAAACGATTGTAAATAAATAATTTCAATAATCCTCTTTGAAATTGAATCAAAAAATAGTCGACATAAAATTATAAAAAGAAAAGTGTCAAAAATGTTTATTCTTTTTTTGTTTTTAGCAGCTAGTCATCACTGCCTTCATGATAAACTACATAATCGGAGAATACTCGAACAAGACATAATTAACTATAGCATTTCTACTAATTGGAATAATATTCGTGTTAAATTTAATTTTGAATATTTAATGGGAAGAAAGAACGATTCAAAAATGTGTCTTTTTACTAACCAGAATATATCTTGGAACAGTGAAAACTATACATGCGAAATGTTTGATATTTTAAATGAATATAATAAAGATTCCCTAATAAAAACTTTAGAGAATGCAAAACATTATATAGAAGGAATATTCAAGGTCAGACCAATCGAAAATTATAATTTCTCTCTCATCGGATATGATTCGGTTTTTGATGATCCACCTGAATCTTATTCAAGTAACTGCGACTTGCATATAACTGTTGTATCAAGGCCATTCGAGTCATATTCAACCGTTGCAATGGCTGCAATTTTGCAAAGAAATAATAAAGATTTTCGTCCAATCCAAGGCGCATTGATTATCAATCCAAGAATGGTACCTTCCATTCCTCAAAATGAAAGTTCAACTGAAAATTATTTCTTCAAATCTTTAATCCATGAAATATTTCATATTTTCGGCTTTTCTGCATCAAATTACAAGTATTTTCATTCACTTAATGATTTTGATCCATATTCTAATGTGTTTTGTAATTTAACAAGCAAAGGAAAAAATTTTACATTTCTAATTACTCCTTATGCGCATAAATATGCCAAAAAACATTTCAAAACAAACTATTTTATGGGTGATAATAACACAAGATGCTTATCAGGCATTGAATTGGAAGATGGTGGAAAATCTGGCACCGCAATGAGCCATTTAGAGATGAGAACATATCTGACAGATATAATGGCTCCTCATATATCATACCTGGAAGGCGAATTCAATGTCTTCTCTGATGCTTCTATGGCAGTTTTACTCGATACAGGAAATTACAAAATTGATTTCAAAAAAGTTAAACCAATGCTTTGGGGAAACATAGATCTGCATAAGAATGAAGTATTCAATGCATCTAGTTTTGCAATTGGTCCTCCACAGTTAGTATTCCCAGACTTATACCTTGCTTCTTCCCAAAACGATAAAATTGGATTTGATTACACATTTTATTCAAGAGATTTGAGTATCGACGAAAGTGAACTTGATGAAGAGTCCAAAGAGAAATATATTAAAGGAAAAAATTTCTATAACCCAAAGAATTTTAAAAATATTGGATCAAATGATGTAATTGATTTCTCAAATATTAAATCACCATCATTTATATGCAACCATGGCTTAGCAGCAATAAATGGTATCGAAAATTGCGTTTTATATGAGATTATTAATAATTCAAAAATTCGATTTTCTTGGGATAACTATAGTTTAGTTTGTAATGAATCAATGTCAAACACAATACACAAGATAGGCAATTATGAAATAGTTTGTCCTGTTTTTGAAAGATTTATAAGAGCAAAAGCCCTTCATAACTCATTCTTTAGTTCAGATCCGTTTGATGGTGATGATTTCAAATACTCAGATCCATACTTTGCTAATAATGATCAAAAAACTGTATTTAATTCAAAAGAAAAATTAATTATTTTAGGGATAGTTTTATCCATCGTTTTTATTTGCTTTATAGTTTCTGTGATCTTAATTTTTATTTTTTACCAGATTAATATGCATAATAAGAGAGTTCCTCAAAGAAACAACGTCGAATCAGATAATAGTTTTGTTAATTTATAAAATTATCATATAATTATCTTCTTTTTCATTAATATTTTTCAACATAGCCTGAAATTGAAATAGGTTATTATAATGGAAGCTTATTTTATAAAATTTAGAATTGAGATACAGCCTTTTGTTGTGTGTTTGTTGCAGGCGATTATTTTTTAATCAACACCAATGCATGAATATGAATACTCGAATAATAAATGTTGCTCAATCATATAGAGTTCAATAAAAAGTTTACATTATTTTTAACCTTAAATTGTATTGTACTCTTACAACACATATTTTTTAGAATGATATGGTTCAAACATATTTTAATTATCAATTTTAGACCCAAAATATTTTACCATTTTTTGAGGCTGGCTCTGAAAAATCGTCGATTTTTAAATTTTGAATGTGAAGAGTATTGTTTTATAAATTTGAAATGTCAAATATAAAATTGCCCAGTTTGAAATTTGAATACAATTATTTTTTATTTCTATTTCAAAATTTTAGAATAGTTTAGTCGGTTTTTGCATTTTTAAAATGTTAGTCACCTTTCTCCTTCCAAAGTGAAAAAAATTGTTTAAAATATAAAAAGAATTTTTATTCGCATAGGCGACAAACAAGGATTTATAAATAAATAATGGGGCTTTGAGTATTGATCTGAATTGAATCAGATAATTAGCCGTAAAAAATCTTCTAATAACGATTTCTCATGCATGAAAGATGGCTATGAGTGGCGTTAATGAGGGCGTTTGATAATTGGAGCTGGACATAAAATTTGGAGATCTTAATTTTTGAGAATTTTGGTGCGATCTTACTGGTAAAAGCAAGAGTATGGAAGGAGATTGAACTGAGAAAAAAACTAGAGCATGCAAAAGAATCATGCTACAGCTTAGTTGAATGTCATTTATGCAAATAAAAATATCTTTTTCAAATTTCAAACAAATTTTTGCCACTTTTTGAAAGAAGATAAGGTAACAAACATTTTAAAATGCAAAACCTAGACTTAAACTATGCCGAAATGTGAGCTCACCGTTACGGTTTTTTCTTTTTTTGGGGGCTCGCAAGCTCGCCCCCAAAGAAAAAACCGTAACGGCGACTAACATTTAGGAAAAATTTAATTCGAATTCCTGAAAAATAATTTTTTTTTCAAAATTTTTGGATATAAAATGAGAATAATTTTATATAATTTTGTCTTTTAAATTTTTGGATATAAAATGAGAATAATTTTATATAATTTTGTCTTTTAAATTTAATAATTAAATTTTTTAGGTTTCTATAAAATAAATTCAAAAAAAATTGTGTGTCCAGGCGGCATCGGAATTGATCGGGAAATCGGGATAAAAGTATTCAATCTTATCCCGATAAATCGGGATGAAAGTACTCAATTTTTAATCGGGACGGAATCACTACACATTTGATAGAAACATTATTTAAAAATCGTTTGAATATATAATATGCAACTAACAAAAAAAATGGATGTTAGTACTAACATTTAGGAAAAATGTATGTAATCTTATTGATTCTCCTGATATATCTAATTTTCTCTATCCTATGCACTTCAGTCACCCCGCAATATTCATTAATCTCCATCAAACCTGAAGAAATAGTTAAACCTGTTACAGAAATATTTAATACAAAATTAATCACATATATGCCTGAAGAATTAATTGAATCTAAAACAGTATATGATATGCCAATTGATATTGGAGATACACAGCTTCGCATGAACGGAAAATGGAGCGATGTTGATGACCATCCAGCGAAACCAGTAATACTTCCGGAAAGATTCCACAGATTTAAAGGAACGATGGCAGTGCTTAAGAACATATATGTTAATCGAAATTCAGGAATTCTTTTACCTGGAAAGTTTATAGTTCCAACAAATGATACATGGTATCATAACACAAAAGGGCCAAGATCTGGAAGAGTCATTGCAACATATGATAATTGTGTCTGTTTTGGACATGATTCAACAAAGCTATACGGTCATTGGATGGTCGATTATCTTTCAATGCTGATGCTCTTACCGAAGGACGTAGTCGAAACATATAAATTGATTAATGTACCAGAAATGGCTGGTGCACATGAGACTCTCGACTTTCTGAACGTTCCAAAAGAAAATAGAATTCCATATCCATCATTTTCTCATCTTTACTTCTTAAGAAGGTGTTATTACATGTATGATCCACTCACAATGACAAACCACTATGGGTTACCTTTGCAAAGAATAAGAGATTTCTTACATGAAAAATTTCAACTTGATGGAATTCAGAAAACAAAATACTGCTGCTATCAGAGAAATGCTAGGAGAAGAATAATCAATTTTGACCAAATGGTTAACACTCTTAAAGAAAAATTCCCAGAATATAAATGGGAATGTATTGAAGATCATCAATCTTTGACACAATGTGCAAGATATTGGGCTGCTATAAAACTTATTATCAGTGGTAATGGCTCGCATTACTTTAGATGTTTCTGCATGAATAAAGGAGCTGTGGCGGTTGAAGTTCATGGAGTTTTCCATGATTTGTCTTGCTTAGGAGCAATAATTATGAGTGGAGTTCACTGCATTACTCTGAAGAATCCAGCATTGGTACATAATGTTTGGTGGGGTGGCGGCTCATATAATATGGAAATAGATAAGATAGTTAAAACTGTTGAATACTTGAAACCATACTTGACTGGTGGAAAATTCCCAAGCGGGCCTTTAGTTTTTTAAATCGAGAAAGAGTAAATATTAAATAAAATGTTTTTATACATATATCAATTTTTAAATATCAATTTTTCTAAAAATGTTCGCTTCTGATAACTATTTTAGTAAAATATCGAAAATTCTTAATATTTTGTTAACATTTGACCTCCAATGAGAGCTACACAAACCAGCAGTACAAAATGTAGGAGATATTTAACGTATAGTTATTATATTTTGTATGATACATAGAAAAATCGAAATTTCGTTTCATATAATATCAAAATAATGCGAGAAAGTCGATCAACCCAATATTTAATGTGTCATTATTCTATTGATTATGAGTGGAAATGGAATATAAGATAATTCAAGAAATACAAACAGTTTATTTGAGAATGTAAACAAAGAACTGTAATAAACAGAAATTCATCAAAAGTGACAGCTCTCAATTTTTTGACATTTGTAAATTCTAAATTGAATGAGAAAAATGAAATAATACTAAGCATAATACAATATTCTAGATTTAATTATAATTAGGAAAAAGTTAGTTTTGAGAGTACTTTTCATAGGCATATAGAATGAAATCTTCTGAAAAATAATATCACATAAACTCATATTATTTTCTAATATATAACTATTTTATATAAAAATCAAATTCAATGATCTTAAAAGCGAAGGATAAACCTCAAAATTTACGAATATAATGAGTGGGAATATAATGCTTATCTATCATAAAACCATATGAAATATCAATTTTTGCTTTACGCCTAATTTTTGACGACAATTAGCAAAAAATGTTAAATGTTAACACTCAGTCCATTTGAATATGAAAAATAAAATTGACTTTGATTAAATGTTTTTATTTATCATGCAATTCTTCTTGCGACCAAAGATTTGAATAAAATTTCAAAAAATAAGATAGAAAGGTAGTCTCACGAGAAAACTGACGGTAAAAATTCGATGAAACCAGGTGCATTGTATAGTACATATATGTGGTAAATAAATGTCGATTAGCTTTGTAAAAAATATCCCACAGTTTTTGAGATCTTGAAAACGGCCATTCAAAAAGTCGAAAATTTTCGCGAGATGTTAATGGGCAAGACAGTTTTTCGACAAATAAATCGTAAACATGGGAATTAAAATAAGGCGTTATATTACATATATGGTAAAGAATATGGATGTGAAGAGCGTTAGTAGAATGGAAAGACTTTGAAATTTTAAAAAATTTATCTGGACTAAAAAATTATTTGATTATAAAAAACATATTATATATCAATTGCTATATAGAACTATCATAACAGATTTTGGAAAAGCCGCAAATCCCCAAGTTGGAGAATTCATTAAATACTAATTATTCAGCTTTTTATCAGAAAGGAAGGTAGTGTAGTGGTTGGGAACACTATGCTCTTTTTGAATCTAAAAGGCAACTGTTCAAATCATAACATCTTTTTTTTTTTTCTTATTCTGCCATTATTGTTTTTCCTTGTTATGATTCAAATTAAAAATATTTTAGTAAAGGTATTTTGGACATCATTTTTTCACATTGTCTCAATGCAAATGTTTGAAAATTTTGTAGGCAATATGACAACTCTTTCAACATTTGTTCTCTTTTATTAACTCAAACAGATTTAGGATCTAATTTCATGCCTTCGAAGACATTTAAACCATCTTCAACATAATTTATTGACAAATTGATAACAATTACTCATGAATGTCGTAGATTTAATATCCTGTCACTCAGCAACAAATTCGGGTTCAATAACAAAGCTCAGTAAAAACTTTCCAGAAATTCTCCAATTTATTTTAGTGTCTTTTTGCGTCATTACGGCTGCATTTTCTTCTGCATCTGAACGCTGTGTTTGGAAGAAGACGAAATACAGAAACTTTCAACACAAGTAATCAGATTTTCTTGTCTTTCATGTTAAAATGCTTCATCTCGCTAGGTATACGTCATTTATTGGATGGATTGTTAGCTTTGTGTCCAAATAGCAAAAAAAAGTATTAATTTAAATTTCGCATTTTGCATAAGTATACGCTTTAATTTATATCAAAACAGATTTAGATAGCTTAAAACAATATAGTTTACTCATAAATACATCTTGATAATTCACTTCTTCAATTTTCATAATCTTATATCCTGACCTATATCCTCTTATAAACCATATTTCTACTGAGATCTTCTTAAAGCATCTTTTTATCCCTATCTACGCCTCGAAACCCTATTTTTCCGGCGGAATATGAATCTTCGGGTCTCGCTGATTCGATTTCTGCAGTCAGATCGTAAAAATACCCACTACATAGCCTGATAATCTCAATTTAAGTTCCTTAATTTTTTTGAAAAAAAAATTAAAACTCCCTTATCAAACATCATGCTCATTTTTACGAATTTCATTTTTCCTTTAAGTTTAAAATATACGCTTTTTAGCATGTTTATAATACATTTTCAATTTACATTTACATTTTTATTTTTGAATTGTTTATTTATATTTCCGTTTGAACAATAATATTTATTGAAAATTGTGAGAGAAACGGATATAATAAAAAACACCATACAACAAAATTCACTTTTTTTCATACTTACGCGGATCACTCCTTTTCGGCCCAATATGCCGGAAATGATAAAACTCTCAGATCTAGTTGCTAAGATCCAAACTCTCGACTCTCAAATCTACTTCCTCAGATCTTGTTGCTAAGATCTACTCTCGACTCTCAAATCTACTTCCTCAGATCTTGTTGCTAAGATCTAAACTCTCGACTCTCAAATCTACTTCCTCAGATCTTGTTGCTAAGATCAAACTCTCGACTCTCAAATCTACTTCCTCAGATCTTGTTGCTAAGATCTAAACTCTCGACTCTCAAATCTACTTCCTCAGATCTTGTTGCTAAGATCTAAACTCTCGACTCTCAAATCTACTTCCTCAGATCTTGTTGCTAAGATCTACTTCCTCAGATCTTGTTGCTAAGATCTAAACTCTCGACTCTCAAATCTACTTCCTCAGATCTTGTTGCTAAATCTATTCCTCAGATCTTGTTGCTAAGATCTAAACTCTCGACTCTCAAATCTACTTCCTCAGATCTTGTTGCTAAGATCGATCTATTATACTCAATTTTACTTAAGCAATATAGATCACCTTTATTATGATTCTCTTTATCTGTACTTGTTTAAAATTAAATTACATCATAAAGATCTAATTACAAATTATTTAGAATTTTGAAATAAAACCAGTATTTTATCAAATGCTTTGAGATTAATGCATTCAAACTTTAAAAAAAAGATATATTCAGATCAATTTCAATATTATTGATTTTTTAATGTAAAAACTATGTCTACATAGATCTCAAACAATTTTATTAGATACTCTTTTTCCCAATTTTTTTCAAAATCTCTTTTTACATATCAAAAATTGTATTTTTCAATTTCATTTTTATTTTTTCCATATTTTTTTTGGAATTTGGATATGCGTCCAAAGTAGTTATGTCATTAGAAAAATATTAGATATCTGAAGAGAAAATGATAACTTAGAGAGTTTTAAAGATTTTATTTTCGAATACAAATATAGACCTCAGAGGAATACATTCTAAATAAATTTGTATCTGAGGGTGAATAAATAAGAACAAAATTTAAAGGGTTAGCATAAATAATGTAGAAATTAAGATTGGAATTTAAATTTAATACAAAATTAAAGGGAATGAATTTGCGATTAGTAGGGTATGGCAAATGGATTGGGAAACATTGGTTACACATGAAAATTATCAGATGTAAGAATTTGGTGCAGATATTTTAAAAATGAGATCTGAGTGCTTAAACAATATCTCAAAATTCAAATTTTCCAAATGAAAATTTGGAAAATTCCCAAAATGCAGAATCAACTGATGATTTTCAATCATTAATAACGCCAATACAAGAAGATCATTTTCCTTCTGCCAACGAACTAAAACAATGGTTTGATATTGCCCATGATGTTTTAATTAGTCCGCCACCTGAGAATCAACATCCAGAAATTGATGAAGAAGAGACACAAAAAGCAATTTATCTATTACAAAACTTAGACTTTCCTAAGAAATAAAATTATTTAATTTATTCTTGTTTGTTTTTTAATTAAACATGTATATTTATTAACATTTCCTTTTTTAATACCTTTCCAACTTCTATTAGTAACAAATACATAACTAATTTGAAGATTTAGCGTTATGAAGAAGTATCCAAGTAATAACGTCAATAATGCATTTGCGATAGGATATAATTGCACCAAAGGTTAAAACTTGTATAAAGAATGAAAAATGAAATTTAATACAATTTTTTTTCGAAAAAAATCCATGCTTGGCTAGATTTTCATAGTTATTGAATATGCATTACTGACATCTTGTAAAAGATGCCGATCAAGGCTTTCAAGATTGCTAAATTTCTCGATTAAAATTTACATTTTTTTTTATTTGTGTTTAATTACATTTTACAGTTTGCAGACTTACATAAAATCCGCAACATAGTGGTTATTTAATATTTGCCCCACAGTATTGTAGTTTGAAATTTACGATAAGATTATAATTGATAAAGTAAGGTTTTGTCATTAATGCATCTTATAAACTTTCATTGATAAATATGGATAGATAAGTTCTGTGTTCAAAAGTAAGCATTTTTTAAAACGCGCAATTATATCAAGAACGACTATCATAAATTCATGAGTATCGATGATTTTCGTTTAGGATGGACTTAATCGGCTTGATTGATATACATATTTTAAAATGGCATAGCTTTGTGCATGTTATGTCAAGCATTGTGCCAAACCAATTTAAAATGAAACAAATTATTTTAAAGAAACTATATATGAACTATTCGAACACTTTATATTAATGTAGGGAGCTATAAATTTAAATATTCTAAAAATTTATTTATTTGTTAAGAGTTCGGAACAAATTTATTATTGAATATATAGGAAATCAAATAATTATGCATAATCGCATAAAAAAATGCTGAAACAATGAAAAGAAAAAAATAGTTGCCCAATAGAAAAAGTCGAACCCATACCCCT